TGGCTGGGTTTCTTCAGCCACTCTGGGTGGCTTTCAACAAAGATTAAAAATACATTAAAATGTCACACATTAAAAACTTCCCTGAACAGGGCTGCCTTCAGATGTCTTCTAAATGTCAGGTAGTTGTTTATCTCATTGACATCTGGTGGGAGGGCATTCCACAGGGCAGGTGCCACTACCGAGAAGGCCCTCTGGCTGGTTCCCTGGAGCTTTGCTTCTCGCAGGGAGGGAACTGCCAGAAGGCCCTTGGCCCTGGATCTCAGCGTCCGGGCAGAACGATGGGGGTGGAGACGCTCCTTCAGGTATACTCAGGGTGTATCACTGAGCATTTGTAAATATTATAATTTTGTTGTTGTTTAGTCGTTTAGTCGTGTCTGACTCTTCGTGACCCCATGAACCAGAGCACGCCAGGCACTCCTGTCGTCCACTGCCTCCCGCAGTTTGGTCAGACTCATGCTGGTGGCTTTGAGGACACTGTCCCACCATCTCGTCCTCTGTTGTCCCCTTCTCCTTGTGCCCTCCATCTTTCCCAACATCAGGGTCTTTTCCAGGGAGTCTTCTCTTCTCATGAGGTGGCCAAAGTCTTGGAGCCTCAGCTTCACGATCTGTCCTCCCAGTGAGCACTCAGGGCTGATTTCCAATACAGAATTGTATTTATTAATGCCTATCCAAACTTTTCACCCAAAGGAGCCAAGGAAAGCAGTTGCATTTTTAAAATACCCTTTCCCTAACCTGCTTTAATGCTGATTTTGGTTGCTAGGATTTCTTTTCTTTTCTTTTTTTTTGTTACGGACCATTTGTGGCTCAGCCATTTGAATATTGAAACTGCTATGTGAATTACCATCTCTCACAATGTTTTGTGAATTAATTCACTGGAGCTGTGCTGAAACGGGGGAAGGGTGCCCCTCCCCATTGTTCATTCCCCCCCTGGGTTCTAAGAAAGGAGAGAAAAATGTTCACACCCATCATGTGCGGGCGACCCTAGCTTTGAAAGGAAATGCAACCCTGTTGCTGAGACAACCAAAGTGATGCTCTCACCTTGGCTGTGCTGTACGGTGGCAATTAAACTGCCATAGCACACAATGGAAAACAGAGACTCTCAGCCCTGCTGCTTTGACAATGGGGATGAGTTCCTCTCATTACCCCTTAATTCAGCAGCAATCAAGATGCAGAGACAGAGGCACCAGTTAAGGAGATGGATCAAGTCCAGGGCTCTAGGCTGACTACTGGCTGTCAGACAGGAGCCCTCAGAATAATCCTCTGGACTATGAGGACCAGAGCTCAGATTCTCACAGGTGCCAAGACCGGAGCTCTGAGCATGAGCCGAAGGAACCAGATGCCTCCCACCACACTTCACTAGCCCAGAAGCACAGAGAGCGCAATAGGAGGGAGGCAGTGGAGTGGAAGAGGAGTGTCTGTCTGCTGGCCAGGTGCTTGGCCCTTTAAAGCTCTGCATTTCTCCATGAGGTGGTGGAGCTTGGAGGAGGTAGTCTTGAGACAGAGGGTTAAGCCGCAGGCTGCTCCCAACCCTTGTTGGAGTAACTTGCTCATATGGAGTTATCCATGGTCCTGCAACTTTTGACCAGCCTCACCTCCTTCTCTGTGGGATCCAGCGTTGGACTGGAACAGTGACAGTTTCCCCTCTTGATTCAGAATGAGAGTAGTATAACTTGTCTTTAGTTTTCCCAAAAGCATTCTTCAAAGTGGATTTTCATATAATCATAGAACCAGAAGGGATCTCAATGGCCGTGTAATCCAACCCTGCGCCAATGCACGGAATTCATTAGTGCAGCATCTCATATAGGTGAACTCGGTTTCAGAACGTTTAATGAAGGAGAATCCACCACTTTCCAAGGAAGTCTTTCCCACTGTCAAGCAGCTCATACCATCAGGAAGCTCTTAAAATTGTTAGTCTCTTGTAATTTGAACCCATTGGTTTGGATCTTATCCTCTGGAGCAGCAAAAAAACAAAATTGCCCATCTGATATGTGACAACCCTTCAAATATTTCCAGATAGCTACCATGTTGCATCATAATGGTATCTTCTTGAGGTCAAACGTACTCAGTTCTTCCAATGATTCCTCACAGAACTTGATTCTCAGGTATCTCATCACCTTTGCCACTCTGTTGTAGACTTATTTCCGGTTTGTCAAGTACTTTCTTAAACAGTGGTTCCCAGGACACACCTCACTGGTCTCACTGGTCTTGCCTTACATCCACCTTGAGTTATTTTGTCTGGCTGGATGATGTCCTTGAACTCTGGTGTTGATTCTTGCTAATCTGAATGGAGGACAGCGAGAGCTGTGTATAGGAAATAACCAGTTGCCTAGAAGGTAAAATTTATATTCATCCTTCCACCCACTTTTGCCTCTGAACCTTTCCACCTGTACCAGAGCTGCATATGGTTCTTGAATTGTAGCCCAGTAAGGAAGAAAAGACCACCCACACGGTATACAGAAATAAATATCGACATCCATCTAATGTGTTTTCCCCCCTGCATAACAAATAAAATGAAGCTTAGAGCGAACTGCAGGATGGACAGGAGGGGAGGTGGAAAAGCAGGGTGATTGAATTTCTAAAGCCGTAAACTGTCTTACTCCTAAGAAACATGCCATTTTGTGTGTGAAGTGTTTAGTGTGGGTGAATCTAACCATCCTGTATGGACAGCCAAGAATAAACTCTGACAGCCTCTGTGTACCTTCCTAGCTGGAGGCCTGAATTGATTAGCATTCTGGCTTGGAAAACAAACCAGTTGTACAAAGAACTTGACTGGGCTTTGCTGACAATTGCAAGTTGCTGTTTCGGAGCTGCTTTGTTTATGCACGGTGAACACCTGGTGTCTATTTGGTATCAGAACTTCAGTTTGCAGCACTGCTTGTCTTGAGAAGCAGGGATATCTCTGTCTTATAGAGTTAATTCATTATAGAATTTAGTCTTTTCCAGAATTTCTGAAAGTAAACATGTGAAGAAAGATCATGCCAGCTGTCTTTGTCCCTTAAATGATTGGTTTAGTATGCACAGAAGCTATGCCTGTTGTCTCTGTCTTGCTGTGTAACTGTGAGACTCTGCTTTTGGAAGGAATCTCAGCTGCATACAGCCTGCTTATCTGTAGATTCTCTGCACAGAAAGTTAATTAATGGTGGAGATTGCAGAGACTGCAGGCGTAATCTCTTTCTGTCTATTCACTACTGTATATGCATTTTTAGAAGGACTGGAAAAGTAGCCCAAATTGTATCTTCCAGGTGTTGCTGGACTACAACTCCCATTAGCCAGATAATAGTTTTGAAGAGAGTTGAACGTTGCATTTGTCTACTCCTGATGAAGCGGCACCTGCAGGTAAATTAGGAGGGTGTAGATCTGGTGAATACTCTGGGGCAGAGGGCAGGCAGGAGTGAATCAGGCTGAAGATTCCTTAGAATAAGAGTAGTTAGCCTTTCAGGACCCTGGACAGAGCCCAAGAAGCTTGTAAAACATTTAACATTTGTGCTAAGCACTTTCTGCCTCTTTTGCTATTCGACTATGCTTCCACACTGTCAGTATTTTGTGGGAGGGATTCAAGCACATACTGGAACTTTAGATTTTCACAACGAGAGAATAAGAAATACGTATTTTAAAAGGCGAAATTGACCCTTGGTGGTTTGGAAAGTGACGAGGAATTACCTTGAAAAGTGTGGGGTGGGGACAAATGATTAATGGGAAAATGTGTTAAGCAACTGCACTGGCAAATCAGGGTGAATGTTCATTGTCATATAACTTCTCCATAATAAAATCAGGATGAATGCTCAATAAGAACCAGACATAATTTAACCAAAGTGTAATCTTGGTGCAAGAAAAACAGGAAGAATACTCAATAAACACCTGAAGGAGCCCGTAAATGGTTTTACCCCTCCCTCCTCATTTTTCCTTTACAACCAACCTGGTTTAATGTCCTTTATTTATTGGTGCTTTATGTTAATATTACATTTATTTTTGTATCTTAAAGGGCTGGGTGTATATGACAAAGAACAAACTACTATATTTGTTCCTGCAGCCCTACTTCTTCACAGGGATTGAGTCTTGCTAAAATCAGTGCAACTTGGTTGGGACAAACTTACTTAGGACTGCAGGTATGCTTAGGGATGCTAGGCTGCAATGCCAGAATATGAGCATGTGAGCCCTTTAATGATGTTAATGGAATGTGGAACACACTTTCTGTCTGGATTCAGTTTTGCAGGGTAGAATGGCAGCAAGCAGTTTCAGGGAGGCCAGGGGTGGCAACTTGAACAATTTTTTGTGGTGGGGTGTGTGAAGAAAAGCCCTGCCTCACATAATCACACCATTTGAATGACAGTGCCCTTAAATGGGGGGGGCTCAAATATTTTATGGGGGGGGGGGAGGAGAAGGGACCTTGGCCCCTAAGAGTTGGCTCCTGTGTGGGAGGCTAAATGGATTTACTGTTTTAACAGAGCAACATTTTGGTTTCAGCTGTGAAACAAAACCATAAATGGCACACTTTGCACATGCTGCAGATCAGTTATTTCAGTGCCAAGCTAAGACCTGTCTCTTTATGGAGGCATTTGATTCATGCTAACTATCATCTGTATTGGGGGTTGCCTAGCAGTTTGGTGATGAGTTGCTTGATCTATTGTGATTTTATGCTGTTATTGTATATTAGGGGTGGGGGCACTTTTTAAGTATGAGGGCTGGATTCCATTAGAGGAGAGCCTTCCAAATTAAAAAAAGAAGGGAAGGGTTAAGGCTTGCAATATGTTTAAAGAAAGTGGGGGAAGAAGAAAAGTGAGGAATTGGCTGTACCAAATAATGTCAACAACAGCAATGCAGCAAATACTATTTTTTGTGAATGGAAAGTAAGGCACAGTGCAGTAGTATCAATGTTTCCCTTTTGCACATATGTGTTATGAAGCTTTTTAGTGACATCACTGTTCTTGCCTTTTATTATAAAGGGACTGTATATTCTCTTGTATTCATTCGGAGCTGAGGTGGATTAGATAGGCATGGGAGCTGGGAGCACAGCACCTCCTTCTGTCTCCAGACTGTTCTTCTCTTGACTAAAACAGACTAGGCATGATTAGATCCCTCCTGCTGCTGCTGCTGTGTGTTTAAACCTATCTGTTGTTCCAGTGATGGAAGCATAGAATGTTAGAAGCAAAGTTGATTCCTCTCTCTGCCAGCCACAAAGGAAGATCCCTAGATCACTGCAGGATGCAGGTAAGGGGGGAAATGTTGTGGAAATAAATTCTAAATTTTACATTTCATGTCAGGAAAATTGGGTCTGTCTTGCAGATGAGTAGTTATTGAAAGTGATGCAAAATTGACAGTTGTCTCTCCAGAAGCAAAGAAGAAGGAAAGAGGACAATAAACCCTGTATTATTTATATACAGGGAGTGTATGGTATATTCTCTTGGCTTCATTAACTCTTTTTGCCTACTCTCATACCTTTGGGATATAACAGCCAGTCTTTAGTTTCTACAATTCCCTTCTTCCCCCAGCCTTGAGTAAATCCCATTCCATGGACCATGAAACACATTTTCAGATCAATGTAGGGCTGCTTTAGACCAATTCGTGGGTTGGATAGAGAACACACTCTACTGGTTATTTTCTTTTTTAAAAGAGAGCTCACTCATATTGCTTATTTGTTTATGGCTGAATCCAGGGCTCTGTTACAGCACCAGCACCATCCCTGTTATTGTTGTACTCTAGCCATGTGAATGGTGCTTTACAGAATTCAAGAGGATAGGTGGTGATCAAGGAGCTTACAGTCTAAAATTGAACATGGGGGGGATCAATGGAGGAAATGAAGGAGTAGCTGGGGTAAAAAGCAGAATGGATCTGCCAAGTAAGCCCCATTTTTAATATCGGATGTATGGGACTATGCTGGAATTACTCGGTAAGAAGGAATATTAACTCTGCACACTTATTCATAGTGCTTTGCAATCATCGTCTTAACAATCCTTACAACACCCCTATAAGACAGATCAGCATTAGAATCCTCATATTGCAGATGGGCAGAGACTTTCAGACTGTCGCTCTTTCAGGGTGAGATTCAATCACATACCAGCAAATTCAATTAAAGTTGGCTTGGTGCTCTTGTGGAACAAACCACACCCCCGCATGGGAAAATAAACTAGAAAATGTGGAATAACACTTGCCTTATGCAAAATCATATAACTTCAACACAAACAAATCAGCTTGAATGCTCAGCAAATATCTGACGGTTGCCTGCCCTCCCTGCAAACTTTGTGCAAACAATTAAGTGTAAATCACCCATCAACATATCATATGGATGTAGCCTTAGTGGCTGATCTATTGCAGCAGTGGCCTATTTTAGGAAATCTGGTACTTGCAGAAGGGCAAATAAATGAGCAGAAAGGAAATTTCTACCCATACTGATGATCACTCAAGAATGCCAGTGTTGTTGACTGGCTGCCTAGCCACTGTGTCAACATCAGTAGTGTCAACATCACCTGGATCATCTAGCCAGTCAACAACACTGAGCTTCCATGGTACTTACTGGCGAGAATGGCCTCTGCCTGCATCTCTGCATCCTGGGCAGTTGCTGTTAGTTAGTTCATGGCTAGGGGATAGGAGAGATTTCAGTCAAGGGCTCCCCACCCTACCTGACAACTTACCTTTATCCACAACATCAGAGATGAGGCACCTGTGACCCTCCAGATGTTGCTGGGACTCCAACTCCCATTGTTCCCAGCCTGCATTGCCAGAGGTAAGGGACGATGGGAGATGGAGTCCAAAAGCACATGGAGGACTACGGATCCCTCACCCCTGCACTGCTGCCTTATGCCTGCTCTCAGACTTTTATACCACTTAGTGGTTTGGCAAAAGGAACTTTGCACCCACCCACTGGAACCATTTAAAAAAATTAATATTCCTGATGCTTCATTTTTTTAAATAAGATATTTATTAAGTTTTTTCAAAGAATACACATAAATTTATGAAATAAAAATTACAGACAAAAAATTACAGTATTGAAAAAAGAAGATAGAAATTACAGAAAAACTAAGAAAAAATACAGATAGAAAATACATGCAAAAACAGAGAAAGACAAAAAAAGAAAGATTTAAAAAACCAATCCAATTTTCAGAGCTTGTAGGCTCATTTGCTTATTTTCTTGACTTCCTCACACCTCCCCTTTTTGTATTCCCATTTATATAATTGATTCAGCAAATCCTAGCCTTCTTTCATTTATCTTAACTTCTGATCTTAACCTATTATGACAATATATTTTCATCCATTATCAATCATATTTACATATTCTTATTACTCTTATTTGCCAATGCCACTTATTTTCAATCCAACATCATTTTAACATTCATTAATTTTACAGTATTTCTGCAGATAGTCTTTAAATTTCTTCCAATCTTCTTCCACCAACTCTTCTCCCAGGTCTCGGATTCTGCCAGTCATTTCTGCCAATTCCATGTAGTCTAATTATTCCTGATGCTTCAACCTGGAGAGCTGGCAGCAAACACAAATCCAGGGCCTGGGTCCCCAATAGCTCAGTTTCCGCCTTGTATGACATCTGATTGCTTTTAGCACTTGTTTCCTTCCCCCCTTGAATTAGTGCCTTGGCAGCTTTGGTTTGGTGCTTTATCTGCTATTTTGTTGTTGTTTACAGGGCTTCCAATCCTACTGTTGCTTTGTTTAACGTTCTTAAAATATTTATCTTTGTTAGCCACCCTGAGGCTTCAGTGATTAGTCGCAATATAAATCTTGACACAAATAAAAATAAATCAATGGAATAAAATGTGCTCCAAATGATGAGTCACTGTTAAGACTCTTGCAGCTGTCTTTTGGGGCCAGGCAGGGTTTCTGGAGGCTCTCCAAAGGCATGCAGGGTGCAATGCAGGGACCTCACATGGACACTGCCAAGGCATGTGTGAATGTGGCCAGGTTGGAGCTCTGCCATAAAGGGTGAGGATAAGGTACCAACCTAAAGTCAGGAAACCCACTTCAAGCCATCTGCAAAATTACTTTACCAAAGGTGCCTCCAGACCGTTGCTATTCTTCAGGAAGGATTACAGGACATACCTGAAATTTTGTTGTTTAGTCGTCTTAGTCCTGTTCAACTCTCCGTGACCCCATGAACCAGAGCATGCCTTGGAAACTCTCACTTTCTTCTCAAAGCTTTTCCTTTTTTTATGTCCATGGAGTTTTCTTGGCAAAATACTAGAGTGGTTTGCCAGTTCCTTCTCCAGGTGGATCACATTTAGTATAATAATAATAATAATAATAATAATAATAATAATAATAATAATAATAATTTTTATTTATTCCCCACCCTCCCCGGCAAGAGCCGTGCTCAGGGCAGCTAACAACGGTAAAAATTACAGTAAAAACATAATTGGGGGGGGGGACCCAATTTAAAACACAGGTTAAAATGCAATTTAAAATGCAGCCTCATTTTAAAAGTTGCTCATAGATCAAAACCACAAGAAGAGGGAAATATAAGGGTCAGACTGAGTCCAAACCAAAGGCCAGGCAGAACAGCTCTGTCTTGCAGGCCCTGCAGAAAGATGTCAAGTCTCGCAGGGCCCTAGTCTCTTGTGACAGAGCATTCCACCACGTCGGGGCCAGTACTGAAAAGGCCCTGGTTCTAGTTGAGACCAATCTAACCACCTTGTGACTTTGGACCTCTAAACTCTCTGCTATGACCTGTCCGTCTTGGGTGGCCCTGCACGGCATAGCTCATAGTTTCTTGGAGTTATTCAAGCCCCTTTGCCACAACAAGGCAGTGATTCATGAAGGGGACCAGAAATTGAGGTTTGCACAATTGAAGTGGAATGAAGGGCTCTGTTGTCCTAGTGCAGGAGGAGTGAGCATGAGGTCAACAGGCCAATGTTGACCTGCCAGTGGTTCCATTTAGGCCCATGAGCCCGTTTTTCTGAAACCACACCCGGCTATTAATCAGCGGACATTACCCAAACCAGACAGAAAGCAGGAGTGACATCCCTGGATGCCAATCATCCTGCCCTGTTTGGGTGCACAAGGTTCCCAGCTGGATTTTGGGTGCTTGGTAATCACTGCACGAGGGATTTGGGCAGGTGGGTGGGATAAGCTGTTTCTGAGGTTGTCTTTTTCTGACCTTCTCCAGTTTGACAATATTCATGTCTATTTGCTGTAACCAGAACCGTGTACCACATTCCATGTGGTGCTGCACTATGGAGTCAGAAAAAAACCCTATTTCCTTCCCACTGGAAACATAGGTAAAGGCAAAGGGACCCCTGACCATTAGGTCCAGTCATGACCGACTCTGGGTTTGCAGCGCTCATCTCGCTTTACTGGCCAACGTACAGCTTCCGGGTCATGTGGCCAGCAAGACTAAGCCGCTTCTGGCGAACCAGAGCAGCGCATGGAAACGCCGTTTACCTTCCCTCCAGAGTGGTACCTATTTATCTACTTGCACTTTGAGGTGCTTTCGAACTGCTAGGTTGGCAGGAGCAGGGACCGAGCAACGGTGAGCGCACCCCGCCGCGGGGATTCGAACTGCTGGCCTTCTGATCGGCAAGTCCTAAAACAAACATATCGTGTCATGAGGAGCAGACTGCATGCTCTCACCCCAAAATTCCAGGCATACTCTTAGAGTTCCTTGGAACGCAGAGATCAATGATCTGGTGCATCATTCAGAGGTGTGCTAAAGGATCATTGACAATGTTGCAGAAGATTGTGTAGAATAGTTGTTTGGGTTTATGGCTGTCACTCAGCCACGGGTACATGCACGTGAAATGTTGCCATCAGTTTCCTCAGTGCGATTGTGAGGGGCCTGGGGTCTGCCTTTTAGAGTCTGTGATGGAACTGTTTGCATTTACAAAATGTCTAGGTTTGCTGCAACATCTTACTTGCTTACAAGAAATACAGAGATCACACAGAAAAGCACTGACTTTGCTTAAAGAGCAGTCAATGCATTTCAAAAATCTAAGGCAAAACATGGAATTGATTGGGGTTTATTATTATGGGTTGCATCCAACACTAGTCATATTCAGAGTAGACTCACTGGGATGAAATAGAGATGACTAAATTATATCCATCAATTTCAATAGGTTTACTCTGAGTCAGTCTTAACTGACTACAACTCTATGATACTTCTATCTCTAAAGCCTTCCTTCTATTTCATTCTATCCTATCACACAAAATATTGGAGTAATTAAATGCTTGTTTGGTTGGTTTTAAAGATCTGTACCTTGCTATTCAATCAAACTGATGCCTTGATGGTTTATAATAGATTCAAGAGTACAGTACAAAGCAATTAAGAGACAATTCAAATCAGCTCAGCAAGACATTTGCTTAATAAGCAGCATGGCTATATTCCATTTAAACAGCCTGAGCAAAACAACATTATGTTAAATAAGCAAATCTATCCATGCTTAATCATTTTCTGATCTCAGAACATGCGCTTCCTTGACATGGAATTCAGGTTTTTAGGTTCAAAATCTGGAGTGGGGGCAGCAGCTGGCATGCAGACAGCCCTATCTGGATAGAATATCTGGTCTTTTCACCTTGCCCTGTAGGTCGCAGAAGTACAGGCTTCTTGGTAAATGCTTATATTGCCAGAAGAACAAGGCTTTTGATTCTTCTATATGCTCCTGCTTCATCTCAGCTGCCTGTGTTCAGACTTGTGGAAAAGGAAAGTGCACTTTGTTGCTGGAGAGAAGCTTTTGTGCACTTGCAAAAATTAGTTTCCCTTGAAATACTGAGAAAGTGACCGACCGCTGAGAAAGAGCACTCCTTTGACAAAGATGTGTTTTTCTAGACCTGGAAAATGTGATGGGGAGATCTGATCTTTCCTTCCTTCCTTCCTTCCTTCCTTCCTTCCTTCCTTCCTTCCTTCCTTCCTTCCTTCCTTCCTTCTTTCTTTCTTTCTTTTGACACCTGCTTATTAAACAGGAGAATAATTACAAGACTGAATGGCACCCACCCCCAGATAATTGTAGACCGGTTGTTTTCATTAGGTACTTAAGCTAATTAGACAGATAGAGCAGCAATGGAATGCCAGTTGTGGTGGGCATTAAGTCTTCACTCCTGGGTGCATTTCCTCTTGTTCTTGTTCTTCTCATTAAAATCTTGCCTGGTGATTAAAAAGCTGTTTACCTCATTTCAATGCATTCCAAATTAAGCTGTCCATATCGTGGCAGGTTTCCTGCAAGTGCCTCAGAGTATGCAGTCTCTGTCTTCAGGAACCATTTAAACATCACAGCAGTAGAAGCTCTCAGAAAAACCACTGACCCATTTGCACTGCTTCATGGGTCAGGGTCAGCGGTGGGGTCAGCACCTTGGACAGCTGCCAGGGCTCCACTTGCTGAAGCAGGGGCATTTGCTCACATTTGCTCTGGGGGCTGGCTCTCGCTATATGGCCTAATCCTCAGAGTGTCTGGGTGCCATGTTGATTTCCAAGAATGACCCCAATGTAGCATCACTTTGGAGGAAATATGGGAAATTAAAATGGCAGCTCCCAGCCCATTGCTACTACCCGGTAAGCTTGTGAGGACCCACCAACAGAGTAAGGGGTTCACCAGAGGATGCTTTGCCCACCGCACTGTTAAACCTAGAGCCAGTCCTGGGTGGTGTAAAAATGAAAACCTATTACCAAAAACATTAGGCCTATTTACATTTTTGTTTGCTTTTAATTATTCATTAAAATGTTTAAATATTTACTTCCATCAATACGTGGGCTGGTTACAATAAGCAATTAAATGAACGCCATAGTTTAATATGTAATACTAAAAAATAGAGGTGCACAGTAGATCCGGATGGATTCAGGTGGAATTAGGGGCTTGTCAGAGGTGATGCAGGATTGGTATGGAGCAGTATGAGTTGAATGCTTTAATCCAGAAAGCGAATCCCTTTTAGGTCTTCCCACCCAAACATCAACTTTAAAGGTGCCTAGTACAAAAGTCCCTGGGCCTATTTGTCTGCAATCTGGCAGGTTTCTTACCCAGGGGCACCTCTCTTATGTCTGCAATTTTCAGATGCATTGATGACAGAATGACAAGGTGGATTTGGGCACAATGTTGCTGTGTTTGTCTGTTTGTTTTTAGCTGCAACAAGGTCATTCTTCTTCAAGATGGCACACAAGTTGTGGAGAAGATGGCGCTTCCCAGCAGCAATCACAGTAGAAGACCTGCAACTGATCTGCATGCCTGCAAGCACCCTGCAAGCCCTGTTCTGCAGTTATCCCCTCTGGAGAAAGAGAAGGAGCCTCATCAGGTGTTGGATGGGATGGGCAAAACAGGAAGTGACATAATGGGTTCCCTACGTATGTGTACTGTATGTCTCTGGTGCAGCCTTTTCAACATCAGTTGTGAAAAGCCTAAGGCAACCAATGATCTGCTCTGCAGAATGGCAGGGCTCGGCCAGACAAGGGAAGGTTTAGGCTGGAAACAAGGTAAAATGGGACAATGTACAGTTTGGCCCCAGGGCAGGACATTGCCTATGCTCTGGGAAACACAGTTGTTTCAGCAATGAAAAAGCTGAAACGGAGCCCTTTCACCAGCAGGTGCATCCTAATTTTGTACCTGCAAGGCTCCCCTTACTCAGACCATCCACCTTAACTTGTGATTTCTCTTTTGTGTTTCCCAGGTGAGAGCCAAATTCTTGCCACACTATGGAGACCCCTGAAGGCAGCACTAACCAAACAACCTACTCCTTGGGAAATGCCAAAAGGAATGTGACTTATTCCCCATACTACTCGCACTCACCACCTGTTGCCGCCATCTACATTGTCGCTTACCTGTTCATCTTTGCCTTGTGCATGGCTGGGAACAGCCTGGTTTGTTTCATTGTACTGAAAAATAGCCGGATGAGGACAGTCACCAACCTGTTCATTCTCAACCTGGCCATCAGTGATCTGCTGGTGGGCATCTTCTGTATTCCTACCACACTAGTTGACAATTTGATCACAGGTAAGCAAAAAGGTGGGACGCAGGTGGCGCTGTGGGTAAAAGCCTCAGCGCCTAGGGCTTGCCGATTGAAAGGTCGGCGGTTTGAATCCCTGCAGCGGGGTGCGCTCCCGTTGTTCGGTCCCAGCACCTGCCAACCTAGCAGTTCGAAAGCACCCCTGGGTGCAAGTAGATAAATAGGGACCGCTTACAAGTGGGAAGGTAAACGGCGTTTCCGTGTGCGGCTCTGGCTCGCCAGAGCAGCGATGTCACGCTGGCCACGTGACCCAGAAGTGTCTCCGGACAGCGCTGGCCCCCGGCCTCTTGAGTGAGCTGGGCGCACAACCCTAGAGTCTGGCAAGACTGGCCCGTACGGGCAGGGGTACCTTTACCTTTACCTAAGCAAAAAGGTGGTGGTGGGGCATAGGATGGCTAAGCTCAGCCTCTTGGTATCTGGGGAAAAATTCACCTTCATGGCCCCTTGCAATCTTCCCAGAAGCACCTGGTTTGCTGTGGGTTACATGGACCTTTGGCTTCTTACGTTCTTATGGGGAAAGAGGGAAATGTTCCCAGATCATGTGTTGGACCCAGGCAAAGTTGGTTGCACTTACCTCCCCCTGGATTCGAGGGGGCAAGGTTAGTCAGGGCTTAAATTCAGTCCCATTTATTCCAAATGAAACTAATTTCAATGGGTAACTTGTATCCAATATTAGTCATACTCAGAGAAGACCCGCTGAAATTAATGCACATGACATAGGTTTAATGGGTCTACTCTACATAGAGCTTAGTTGGCTACAACCCAATTGGCCTTGATCCAACCCCATAACACAATGAAGGGTGGTTTAGAAATGTAATTATTATTAATGATGGTGATGATGATGATGGTGTAAGAGCTGATTTGTACAACCCTCACTTTCATGCTGAATGTTGACTTGACATCATGATAAAACAGAAAGCAGCTTGGAAGGGTGGGACTTTGATTAGAGAATAATAGTAATTATTATTTATTATTATTTATTAAATTTGCATATTGCCCTATACCCGCAGGTCTCAGGGAAGTTACAACATAAAATCACAATATAAAAACACAAAATAACATAATCCTCTTTGAAAGCCACCAAAGTTAGTGGCCATTGTGTGAGTGAATTTCCATAGTTTTTGGTCATGCAAAGTGTGAAGAAGACCTTATTTTTGTCTGCCATGAATGCTTCAACATTCAGCTGCATGGAGTCCACGAGGGTTATGAAAGGAGAAAAACTTTTCTCTATCCACTTTCTTGATGCCATGCATAATTTTTTTACTCCTCTACCATGTTGTCTCTTGCCTGCCCTTTTTTCTAAATGGTCAGCAGGGAAAAGATTAAGCATCATTCTCTCCTGCTGCTGTGCAAATCATAACCTCCTCTAAGCTGCTTTTCACTTTTTGAAAAGCAGCTGAGCCATGCTGGAGATGTATTGGTGACGAGATTTTCACAGTGGAGAGAGACCACCTGCATGTTAGATAGAATCAGCTGGTAAAACTAGCCTCTCTCTAATGTCTGCTGAACTCTGTCTCATGGCCCCCAACTGCCTTCTTCCTCCTAGGATGGCCTTTCAGCAACAGCATCTGCAAGATGAGCGGGCTGGTGCAGGGCATGTCTGTTTCGTCATCTGTCTTCACTCTGGTGGCAATCGCTGTGGAAAGGTAAGAAGAAGGTGAGGTCCTAAAGCAGGAATGGGGAGCAGGTAGCCCTCCAGATGTTGGACTCCAGCTCCCAACAGCCCAGCCAGCATGGCCAGTAGAAAGGGATGATGGGAGTCGGAGTCTAGCAACATCTGGAGGGCCACCGGTTCCCCACCCTTGCCAGAAAGGGAGAGTACACAGGTTTGCTGTGGGATCAAGCTCAGTTCCCATGCATGTTTTGGGGCCAAGGAAGGAGGAAACGGATGCCCATCACCCTTCTTTCAAACAAATGAGCCAAGTTCCATAGGTCAGATGCTTAATGTGTTATGAGGTGTCCGTTCTCAGTTCAGTGGATAGGACTGGGTCAGCTCACCCATATGACCTGTCCATGGGGACTGTCACTTATCCCATGCAATCACCGAGTGTGTCACCCACCCCAGCAACAGTGACCAGACAATCTGTGAGCCGTGGCGAAGGAGGCTTAGCAGGTGGAGATGCTGAAGACCTTGAGTCCTGATAAAAGGGTATTTGCTTGGCCCCTTCCTGGTCAGAGTCCTATCCTGAGGCCAAATGATGCTAAGCGGAAACAATAAAGGAAATTATTATTAAAGGAAATACAGGTGTTTGGGACTGCCAAATTTATTGTGACAGCAGTCCTCCTGTGTTTTAAATAGTTGCACGACTGACAGCAAAGTAGCAGGTCTTACCCACTTGCTCCATCCTCATGTTGGGCACAGTGTCAAGGAGCTCATAAAGCTGCAGGACTGAGAAGGAAAGTGCCAGTGACATGCTATGATGCGGGATGAGACCTTGTGGGGTGGGAACTTGTGGTGGCACCCCATCTATGGAATACAACCTATTCGCTCTTCTGTGCTAAAGGTCAATGCATTCATTTGCCCAGTCATCTGATCAACACTCCATGGTACCTCATTTCACTAACATGGTACCCTCTAGCAGCTGTGAAGTTTCATTAGTCCCCAGCCAGCACAGATCTGGAGGGCATCAGATTGGTGAAGACTGGATTAGAGGATTCATCCACCATCTCCTTTGCATGTAGGTTAATATTGTTGAGCATGAGCGGTTGGGGGATAGAGATAATGTTTGAGGTAGCAAATGAGTGTTGTGGTTGCATAGAATGGATGGTGAATGAGACATGTGGGTTGAAATTTTACATTATGCTGCCTTGTAATGCTCTCCAGTTTCACTGATATTAATAGTGTGTTTATGTATGAATATTTGTTTTGCAAAGTCTTTTCTGCATTTATATTTATTTACCTAGTGTAAATCTGCATTTATATTTATTTACCTAGTGCAAACCACTTTAATATCTCAGACAGGAAGCTGTCTATAAATGCAAATAATAAACAAATAATCTTAAATTATGGTGGTTGAGGCCAGCTCAGCCTCTTTATCTCCTTGCCCCCCAGAATGGCCCATTTTGGCCAGATAGAAAGAGTATCTTTTTGTTCCTCCCTTCTTGCATAGTAGTCATTCCCCTACTTGTATTCTTCCTCCCTTTTTCCTCTGCAGGTTCCGCTGCATTGTCTACCCATTTAAATCCAAGATCAGCCTCTTCCAGGCACTCAATACCATTGCCATCATCTGGGTACTGGCTATTACCATCATGTGTCCCTCTGCTATCAAGCTCACAGTGGCTCAGCAGGAGGACAGCTACATGGTATACAATGGCAATCAGAGCATGACCTACCCCTTGTATTCATGCTACGAGGCTTGGCCCAATAGTGAAATGCGCAAAGTCTACACCACTGTGCTTTTTGCCCACATCTATGTTGTCCCGCTGACCCTCATCACATTCATGTATGGCCGAATTGGGCTCAAGCTGTATAGGTCCTCAGGCCCAGTAAGTCAGCACCAGGTAGTTCATGAAGGTCAGTGCAACATGGCGGTTTCTAGAAGGAAGGTGAAGGTCATCAAAATGCTTGTGCTCGTGGCTCTGCTCTTCATGCTCTCCTGGTTACCTTTGTGGACACTGATGCTGCTCACAGACTATGCCAAGCTGGATGAGCAGCACATAAATCTGCTTGCGAGTTACGTTTTCCCCTTTGCGCACTGGCTGGCCTTCTCCAACAGTAGTGTCAACCCCATCATCTATGGCTACTTCAATGAGAACTTCAAGAAGGGCTTCCAGGCAGCCTTCAAACTCCAAACCTGCTCTGATGAAATGGTCCATCAAGGGGTCTATGCCGAGCGGACAACCGTCAGCACCAGTGGCTTTGGTACCCGGAATAAAATCTTCACTGATGGGGAGTCCTCCGATTCAATGTGCTTGAAGAACCTGCCCCCTCAAGCTCCTTGTGGCCCACAGGCTGGACATGGCCAGGGACAAGGACCAGGAATACTGCTGCAGGATGTCAACGACATCACACCCCTGAGCAAAGTTTGCAAAGCTTGGGATGCCTGAGGAGGGTTGAATCAGCAGAGATTTTTCTGGGGTCATTTCCGTTCCTGCATCTGCATCTGCCTCACATGAATATGGATGGGGATATTTGGGTGACCACTCATTCATATTTTCTGTGTGCTGAGCATGTTGTGGGAGTTCTTTCTACAAATATTAGAAAAAAAAAACATATGGAGGGAGTTTGTCTTCCCTCGCCTGTCCCCAAATCCTGTATTGGAAGCCCAAACAAATATGGATTTAAAAAGAGAACAGAATTTTTCATTTATTATTTCCCCTGTTCAGCCTGTTGCTTTATTCTTCTTTCTACGTACATACCCTTAAAGCATATTCAAAGCACATTCTTTCTCTCAAAGAATTCCAGGCATTGAAGTTTTTAAGGGTTGCTGGGAATTGTCAATTCTGTGAGGGGTAAACTACAGTGCCCAGAATTCTTTGAGGGAAAGAAAGTGCTTTGAAAGTGCTTTAAAGGTACAATATGTACGCAGCTTTCTAGATTCAAGCCTGTCATTCTTTTCCACTCTTCCTGGGTGCATATTGGGTGAAAAAGGAGGATTTGGATACAGAACATCCAAGCTCTTCTCATCTGCCCTGATATGCCCTGATATGTCATTTTTTAAACCCCCTATGGAGCACTGCTGATGGTACATCTGCACTGGTGGACTTTTTTGCCAGTGTGTGATGGGGGCTTCATTTGGAGTTCAAGTGCCACTCTAGTGGTGTGACAGCATGTCTTAAAGATCCCATGACCCACCAGAGGCTGGCTGATGAGCTGCAGGATAGTAGTCCAAGTGGTTTTGTAAATATTTTTCTGTCCAGTTTTGGAGATTCAGATACCAAGTGTATAACACCAGAAATGTTGCTAGATATTGAAAGGATTTTGAGCAGGGGTCAACAGAGCGCAAATTTGGAGGAAAAAACCAAGTGATAATTTATATGCGCAGATGTAAATTTCTGAGCAACTTTCAGAGAGAAACCAACAACTTTCAATGGAGAGTATTCCAAAGAATGAGAGCGGCTATTGTTGTGTGAAGAAGCTCAGAGATTCATGTTGTGGTAACCTTAGTGCCAATGCTTAGCAATGTCAAGAACAACACTGTGCTTTCATGTTTCCAAGGAAGAATCTCAGTTACTCGTACAGTCTACAACACAGGGAAGATAGAGTACAGGGAACTGGAGGCTATGGCTGCCTGGAAGGGACTGGGACCCTTGTACCACTGAGAACTGGTTGTCCAGCACCCCATTCCCAGTTGGCATCCTGGGCTCTGTCTCAGCCTTGACATATGGTCTTCGAAGATAACTCCCTGATGCTGTCCTTGTAGGCTCATACTGGTGTAATGGGGATACTTGGATAGGTTTTGCATGCAATCTCTCCCCCCCCCCAATTTTTTAAAACTGATTTTCCAATATTATAACAAACACAACAACAACAACAACAAAAATTACAATATCAAAAAACAAGCAAACAAAAAAAACATTTATCTTAACTGCTATAATCCCACTTTTGTTATCATTGTTGAGTGACTTCCTCAAATCCCCCTGGTTGAGTTTCCATATGGCTCATTGCAGCAGTTTTCCAACACTATTTTCATATAAGATTTACTTGTTCAATTAACATCTTTCTTTCTTTTCATTTTGACTTCTATCCATGATATTATACAATTTTACATATTTAAATCCTAGGCCACTCTGTTACTCACAAGTAATTCTATTTAAGTTATCTTAACATTTAAGTTATCTTAACATATTTAGCTAAATAGTCTTTAAATTTCTTCCATTCCTCTTGATTCTCCTCCTCCTTCTGGTCGCGGACTCTTCCGGTCAGGTCGGCTAGCTTCCAAAAGTCCATCATCTTCATTTGCCATTCCTCCACTGTTGGTAGTTCTTGCAAGGTTTTGCATGCAATCTTGCCAGCCCCAAATACGGTACCCACCAAATTATGTTTGTACACACACACACACACACACACACACACACACTTGTGCAAAAGGAGTTGTGAAAATGCAAGGCACCACATTTTAACTCAAACACTGAACTCGTGTCAAAACTACGCAAACTTCATTTTATCCTCCCAGATGGGAAGTCAGGGGGAACTTTCTCAAGACAGATCATAGAATCATAGAATGGTAGAGTTGGAAGAGACCCCAAGGGAAATCTAGTCCAACCCCCTGCAATGTAGAAATCACAACTATAGCATACATGGCAGATGGCCATCCAACCTCTGCTTAAAAACCTCCAATGAAGATATGTAGTCCACTGCTTTTGTTATAATGCACATGCTCTGCCAATATTTTTATCTGATGCCATTTTGGGAAGTATATTGTTAGCTATTGTAGTGCATCGTTTAATAATTTTTCAGTATTCATTTGTATTGTGACTGTGACACAAAGGTGGGATATAAACAACTCATTCGTATAAATAAAAAAGTCATTCCTAGCAAGATGGGCTGATAATTACATGGAAATTGGACATTCTCATCTCATAGAATGGGGGGTGGCTCACACTCTGTCAACTGAAGGGTGTATATGTGTCTGTCTACAAGTCATGACATAACTGTAGCTGGTAACTCATTAAAATAAGAGTACAAAATCTCATTGCATATCCTGCGTGTTTTGTTTGTGTTTGGCTAGAATAAGTAACACCTCTCTCCCCCCCCCCCATTACTTGTCTACAGATCCCTTTTAGACTTTCATTGCACTTTGATGAGTTTCACTTGACCTCAGAAGATGATGTTTTTTATGGGCAAAGAGAAAGAAGATGGGATTTAGGGCTATGAAAACTATGGCTGCATACATAAAGGGACCCCTGACCGTTAGGTCCAGTCGCGGACAACTCGGGTTGTGGCACTCATCTCGCTTTACTGGCCACACAGTTAATGCACACTTAAAGCAGACAGTGCCCAAGAATCCTGGGAACTGTAGTGTGTTAAGGGTACTGGGAATTGTAGTTCTGTGAGGGGTAAACTACAGTTCCTAGGATTCTCTCTCTCCTCCCCCCCATTTGGCAAAAGGAGCTTTAAATGTATGGTGTATATGCATCTACAGAAGCAAACATTTAGCTGTCCAAGTTCAACAGCAACATCAGTTCTGTATGCTCCTTGCCTTCTCTCTCTCCCCCACCAGTCCCAATGAGCAACAGTCACCATTGATGGAGTGGAAATCAGAAAGGAGGGAGAGAGAATTGTGAGAGGGATTCAGAGATGCCTGTGAAGTGTAGAGTGTGTGTGTGTGAGAGAGAGAGAGGGTGACAGCGAGAGAGAGCATTCTGGGATATACATGTTAGAATTCCTGCTCCATGATTGCAGTCATGGGATTTTTGTCTATCATATGACGGTATATGTTTTGACTCCACAGAGTGGGAAGTGACTGAGACAGGATGTTTGTGTTACTGTGTTCCGTGAAGTGGGACTATTGCCTTTTGTTCTTTTTCTCTTTGCTGCTTGATGTTAGAGAGATAGGGAGCCATGTTGCAGCGCTCCATGTGTGTTTATATGTAAATAAAGTAGATTAGCCAAAATGCTGAGTTGCTGAGGTCTGTCACGCAAGTTGTGCAAACTCTGCGGATCCCTAAGTGTGCCGGTGTCAGTTGGCATCGGTCGCTGTGATGTTCAGGCAGAAGAAAGCTTTTGAAGCTCCCGAATGAAAGACCAGGAGGGAGAGAACATGCCAGTCGGCCATGTGTCTCTGCCAGGGTCCTACTTGAGTGTAGGCTGGACTCCTGACAATACAGAGAAAATGTGGTTAACAGTTAAAAAGAAAACGGCGAGTTTAAATTGTATCAGGAGTGCTTTTCCGCAGCTAAAATGTGATTTGGCCTCTTGTTTTAAATACGAATGTCAGAGTGGTCCTCAGAGTGATTTGAGAGTTGCATGCCCTTGCAATGCCTTAATCAGCTTGCATTAGTTACTCAAGTGAAAGGAAATTGGCTCCAGCCAGTTCCTAATCATGCCAGTGGTGCTTCAGACACACTGCAAATCAGTTCCTCCTCTGGGCTCCACTCCTTCCTTCTGCTGCCCACAGCTCTTCAGGGATGTGTCTGATTACCTTTTGTGCTGAGTCTTCTTGAAATTCACACCCTTGATCAACGAACTCTGAACAAGGGGAGGGAGGGAGGGAGATGGGTGTTGGGATCAGAGCCGTGGACACGTAAGAGACAGAAATAACTAGGAAAACACACAAACTCGCTTTTTGGCCATGCAATTGTTAAATTCAGCTCAAGGGAAATATGCACTAATGTGGACTACAGTGGTACCTTGGGTTAAGTACTTAATTCATTCCGGAGGTCCATTCTTAACCTGAAACTGTTCTTAACCTGAAGCACCACTTTAGCTAATGGGGCCTCCCACTGCCGCCGTGTCACCACTGCACGATTTCTGTTCTCATCCTGAAGCAAAGTTCTTAACCCGAGGTACTATTTCTGGGTTAGCGGAGTCTGTAAGCTGAAGCATATGTAACCTGAAGCGTATGTAACCTGAAGCATATGTAATCCGAGGTACCACTGTATTGGGGGTGGGGGTGGGGAGAAGTGACCTTAGGCTCAGGGTTCAAATGTGGCAATCCAGGCTTCTCTATCTGCTATCAGTCAGCGTAGGCAATACTTAGCTAGACCAATAATCTGACTCAGTGCAAGGGAGCTTCCTAAGTTCCTAAATTCTTTTTCATACAACACATAACGAATTGGTAGAATTTGCTGCCTCCAGTGGTATAGATGCCAACTGGCTTGGATGGCTTGAAAAGAGGTCTTGATTATCAGCTTTGGGGATGGGCAAAAATGGTACTGGGACGAAAGGGTTGATCTCCTACCCCTCCAGACCCAATCAGGAATGTGCTCTCTCCCTATGGCTGCTGTTTGAAGGAGATTTGTTCACACTTTGCTGTGGTTGTCATGTCTAGTTCAGCCTTGAGCAAAGGGTGAGAGAGTGAGCCATACTACTTTCAGGACCTTAGTCATACTGCAGTCAGCAGGATTAAATTGTGTGGGCCTGCGCACACACCATGCATTTAAAGCAGACCCACCCAAGAACCCTGGGAACTGTCTCATCAGAGTGGTACACACGCTCTGGCCAGTGTGGTGTAGTGGTTAAGAGCGGTGGACTCGTAATCTGGTGAACTGGGTTCGCTTCCCTGCTCCTCCACATGCAGCTGCTGGGTGACCTTAGGCTGGTCACACTTCTTTGAAGTCTCTCAGCCCCACTCACCTCACAGAGTGTTTGTTGTGGGGAGGAAGGGAAAGGAGAATGTTACCCGCTTTGAGACTCCTTCGGGTAGTGATAAAGCGGGATATTAAATCCAAACTCTTCCCTTCTTCTTCTTCTTCTTCTTCTTCATCTTCATCTTCATCTTCATCTTCCTGCTTGGGCTACTGCAATATGCTCTATTGAAGGTGATTGGAAATTACAATTAATCCAGAATGTGGCTGCTAGACTGGGGACTGGGAGTGGCTGCCGGGACCATATAACACCAGTCATAAAAGATCTACATTGGCTCTCAGTATGTTTCCAAGCACCATTCAAAGTGTTGGTGCAGACCTTCAAAGCCCTAAACAGCTTCGGTCCTGTATACCTGAAGGAGCACCTCCACCCTCAACACTCAGCCCAGACACTGAGGTCCAGCTCCGAGGGCCTTCTGGCAGTCCCCTCACTGAGAAAATTGAAGATACAGGGAACCAGGCAGGGGGCCTACTAGGTTTTGGTGTCTTCCCTCTCATCAGATGTCAGAGAGAAAAACAATTATAGGACTTTTTGTAGACATCTACTTTGGGAAACTTTTAATGTTTGATGTTTCATTGTGTTCATTTATATTTTGTTGGAAGCTGCCCAGAGTGGCTGAGTCAAAAGGGTGGGGTCAGTAGTGCAGCTTCATGCTCTGACACCGGGGGGGGGGGGAGAGCAGACGGGGGCGGGGCATGCCACCTGCAGAGGCGTGGTGCGTGTCCTGGGGGTGTGGCATGCTGCCAGCAGGGGCGTGGAACCCAGTGCAGGCGGGGGGGGGGCAGCCGCGATGGCACCCCACCGGGATCGTGCTGATTATTATTATTATTATTATTATTATTATTATTATTATTATTATTAATATAGCTCACCCCCCATAGAGCTGCAATTTCAAGCCCCCTTAACTGACTACACTTCCCAAGATTCTTGGGGGGGGGGCGTTGTTATGCTTTCAAGCATAACTCTGCCATTTTCCATGGAAGATCGGGTATCATATGACTTTCTTCCACCTTCCTGTCTCCATCATCCACAGATTTTCAACAGGCTTGCAGGCTTGCGCTGTGCTATTGTCAAAAAGTCTATGTCAAAAATGTATGCAATTATGGACCTCATTTGCTGCTTGCAAACTGGCAGTAGGAGACATCGGAAGCCCCAGGCAGTGGGCAATGAGCACAAAAGCTTTGTGGAGCAGAGAGCCAGGAACTGGTGGCATTTAGGATGCTCCTGGAGGGCCACCCTAACCTCAGCATGAGTTGCATAAGCAGAATCTGCGCCTTTGCTGAAAACCTCCTTTATTTCTTCCTGTTGACAAATTGGCAAATACAGGATTATGCTAGTGCCTAAGGAAAGGGAAGGGACATGGGTGGTGCTGTGGGTTAAACCACAGAGCCTAGGACTTGCCGATCAGACGGTTGGCAGTTCAAATCCCTGCGACGGGGTGAGCTCTCGTTGCTCGGTCCCTG